AACAGTTTTAGATGCAGTATTTTCTTTAATTTTATCAGACACATACATGTACTATTTGCTCTGTTCCATGAATATTTTAAGTGCTTGCAAATAATAACTCATTTAAGTCTCATATTGGCATATGAGGTATGTGCTATTTTACGTCCATTTTAGATATGAGGAAAATAAAGCACTAAGAGGATGAGTGACTTGTCCAAGGTCACACAGCTAATAGGTAAGATTGGAATTCAAACCCTGGCAATCTTGCTCCAGAATCCATGTTCCCCTCCGTTATGCTGCTTCTCACACTTTAAAGCTCTCACTAAGTCTAAGTTAAAATCAACTGTGACTTGTGCAGTTACATCTAAAAATTTTTACATTAGCTTCTCAAAATTAATTCATGCCACATGGCAACTTCTTCAGATTCCTAAGGAATAATAAGAAGGGCAAATGCTATCAAATACTATATGTAAACCACATGCATTCTCTTAGAAACAAAATTAAGGTATAAAAACTAATCAACTTGGGTCCCAAATCTTCTAAAAAAGTACTCTTTCCTGCAGAAAGAGAAATACTAGGAAATAGTTTAGAGATTTAATTTTGCACCAGCCACTCCTCAGAAGGAAGGTTGGGCAATCTACTGCCACAGTGATATGCCTTGAAAACCCAAGGAGGGGTCGCTATGAGTTGAGTCCTACTCAATGGCACATAACAACAACAACAAAAATGCCACTGTAACTCCAAAAGATCTTTTCACTCATTCAGGTTCAGAATAGTCAAGCTAGTTCAAAGTAGAGAAAATTTAATTGCATAATGAAGAGAAACAGAACAGCTCTTAGAGGATCTCCCTGGGGAATTCCACAGTCGGTGAGCCTCTAGAATACAGTGTTATCTCTTGAAATTCTTTTGCACATCTGGCAGGGTACACATATACTCCTACACCTCTCCCAATTGCCTGGCACTCCGCCTTCTGGGAAGGTGCACTTCACTGCTGCTCAGGGCATGCTGCCAACATAGCCCTGCTCTGGGTGGGGCTCAGAGACTGCGTGCACCTCACAGCACTTCAACACTCACTTTGGAAGTGTCCTACAATCTAAGACAACAAAGGAGGAGGAAGCTATCTCCATTCTTGCCAAGAAACTACTCATTTTTCATTTGGGAGGGATGTGTATCAGGGTATGTGTATTCAAGAGAAGGGTCCTCTCTTCACACTTTGGTTATCAGAATCCTATGTCTCTTTAAATTCCACACCTGTGATCTCTGGCTATGTAAATACTCTGACTCCCTGTATAGCTGGCAGAAGACTAAATTCCACCTGATACCTTTCTTTTTTAGGCCCTTCCTCCCTTAAACACAATGTTAAGTAGACTAACCAGGGGTGGCACAGTAACTCGCCTATCTCCTTCCAACAAGATGCAATGGCCAACTTGCTAAGGGTCTAGCTGTGGGGCTTGTATATAGCTAAACATTAGTCCCCTTCACTTTTCCATCCTCAGCTCAAGAGTTGTGTCACACTCATTGGATGAGTGTGGCAGTCACTCATCCAATGCCACAAAATTAAGGATAGATACCACAGGTACTCCTCTAAGATTAAAATTGTTGATGGAATTCCTAACTTTCCTGAACTGAAATTTACCTGACTCCTCATACTGACAACACAGTTTTATGGCAGGCTCCTCCCTTTCCCCTCCAGCCTTCTAAACTACCCTTTTGTATTCCTCCAAGCCCCTTCCTCATTGGCACAATAAAACATGTAGAACCCAACTTAGTTCCCATCATTTCACCAGGCATGCCAACCTAAAGATGCCCTAGAAATTTATTTGGTTGTTTGGGGGCTGGGCAGGGGGAAGGCAAGTGTGGATAAAACTGGAGTTTCAGATAAAATATCTGAAAAAAAGTTTCTTAAGTTTCTCAAACTCTTGTGATGTGGCTCTGAATTTTGGGATTAAAATAGACATTTGTGATCCTGGCAATGGTAAAGTAAGTATTCTGATTTGTCACCTATTACATGATGTTGATTACTTACAGAATTTAGGAATGATGTTTGTTCAGAGATTTTATTTGATTATACTGGGTGGTACATTTAGAAGAGTCAATACAACTTCATTTCAAAAACAGACTGAGGAACGGCCACTTTACATAACAGCTATAGTAAGGATTTTATCAGGGCTGTGTGAATTGGATTTATTTAGTGTAAATACAGTCTAGACTCATTATCTTACCTCCATCTCAGAGTCTAGAGCAAAGAAAGGAGTGAGTCTGATGAGAAAACAGGAGATGGAGACATTGGGTACAAATGCTAAAATGAGCATCCTAAGTGGCTCTCTGAGAACAACAAAGCTGGCACCTTAATACAGGTGGCTCAGGGTATAAGAGGCAGAATAAAGAGTCAGAGACCATAGCTAAAAACTCACATGTCAAACCCACACTGCCAATCCTTGCAATAAGGTAACAAGCTCTCTGGTGTGTGGAGTGAAGCCATGAAAAATGCTGGAAAGCCCCACCTCACAAGTGGCTGGAGGCCCCAGGTATGATACTCACGCTGACACTGTCCCCAGGACCGGCGAGCCCAGCCCCAGCAGCAATCAATCCTTCTTCCATAACGGCACAGGCCAACGGATGACACTATTTGCCTGGGCCACCTACCAAACAAAAAAGATTTCAAATAAATAAAGACACTCTTGAAATTAAAAACAAATTTCACTTTGTTGTCATTTTTAAAGTTTTTTAAATCACACCTATTTTCCTCTAACTTTTTCATGTCTGCTTGTTGTTGTTGTTATGTGCCGTCGAATCAGCCCTGACTCACAGCAACCCCTCCTTGGGTTGCCAAGGCAGTGTCACTGTGGAAGTAGATTGCCCTATCTTCCTTCCCAAGGAGTGGCTGGTGGGTTTGAACCGCCAGCCTGCTGGTTAGCAGTCAAATGCCTTAGGCACTGCACCACCAGAGCTTCATGTCTGCAGAAATTTAGAAATCGAGCATCCTCACTGAAACAGTTCTGTTATGATCTAATTTCAAATTTCAGAGAGTTAAACACAAATATATATCCAACACACAAGAGAGGGTGGGGAAGGAAGATTTTTTTTTTTTTTTAAACTGTAAATAGCAACAGCTAAAACCAAAAATTCTCAGGGCTGTTACTCACATGGTTTCTGAAGCTTGAAATAAAACAGATTCCTCAAAGACAGGCACCTGTTACTGGGAGGCGGGGTAGTCACTTTTGAGTGATTGATCATAAACTGACATCAATGAAAAAAAAAATAACTCATTTCTGTCTCATATAAAGGGTGAAAGGGGGAAGGGCAGAAAGAGAGGAGGTTTCTAAAAATCAAATGATATGGAACTCTTTTCAAGATATGACCCTAGCAGTAAAAGTTCCCAGAAAGGGGGGGGGGTGTACTAGAAAAGGAAATCTAAATCAAACCAAGGAGAGTTTACAGTGTACCTGGCATCTCAAGCATCTTTGTGGCTTGAAACTTTCTTGCATCAGTAATTCATATTATTTCCTCTCTAGTGTAAATAAGGACTAAAGAAAACATTCAGTTTGGGGGTGCTGATTTATCCACCAGATTCCACTCTTAGACCTTATTTGGTAAATTGTTTCCTTGTCAGATTCACACATGATATTTCTGGGGGATGCTGGGGACTGACATTTCAATTGCTGTTTTAAATACTTCTCTAACGCAATATTAAAATCGTGTGCATAATCAAGTGATGTATTTCTTGTTGAAAATGTGTGTGCCTAGGCAAAGAATTAGGAGCTCTGGTAGCATAGTGGCTAAAGCACTTGACTGCTAACCAGAAGGCTGGCGGTTCAAACCCACCAGCCACTCCTCAGAAGGA